CATCATCAATAAGAAACTGGTTCGTTTTTCTGGATTCTGCTACTGGTTTGAGTCGAGTTTTTTTGCATCTAATTACTTGCTCACCTAAATGTACACTTTCGGCTTCATTTTTGATTCATCCATCCTGAGAAACACAATTAGTTATGATGGATTCCAATGTAAAGCTGAAAGCAAGATGGGATGGTTGAGACCACAGTATTCCCAGAAACACAAGCATGCGTCGCGACTTCTTAACATAATATCAGTATTTGAGTTGATGAACAACGACGACTTGATGCTCAGTTCAATGGACATAATGAAATAAATCACACTGGAACTGTATGGAATTTGCTCAGCCTGGCTAAATCAAGCATGTGATTCATAGTTTACTGATTTCCAAATGGAAATTATTGTCTGTTGTTTTGCTTGTTCATGCAAAGAGTTTCCAGTGTTGGAATGAAGAAAGTATAGCAGTTCATGCGTGCAATTTCGATGAGCAGAGCTAAATAGGTTGAACCTTTAACCAAAACAAAAAACAAAACCGATACGAACGTTGGTGTGCAGCAGCTGCAGAAACCGTAGCGCTTTTACGAAATCTACTGAGTTGATTCATTAATTTTTGTTGTTGGATTCCATTATCATCATTGCTATTGCTAGAAAATGGATATTCATACTGGTACTGCAATATGGCCATTGAGGGAGCATTGCAAATAATTATGGAGAGGATAAAAATGATAACGAAGCTGTTTAAATTCGATGGTAAAATATTTTTCGATGCACATGTTGTAACTGAGTGAACCATTTTGTTTGCTGTCAAATCTGGAATGTCAAACTAATCGTTGCTAAGTACTCAAACATTCAATATTTGCGATCGAAAAGTTCGCAACAATAAAATCAGTAATATCGAATGTCTAAGATCAATCGTTATAGAACAATGCTATTCAAAATCTTCACTGAAATAACAAATGGATGATGCTGCATACATCATACGAAAATATATGCAAATAATATGATACGATTCCATCATTGGTCTATTTGACAATCTGAAAACGATCCAACTTGAATCAGGAATCGAGGAGTGCTGCTTATCTCAGAGATAGTCAAGTTTGAATTGAGGCGTAGCCTTGAAAGCAGAGGTTGCAAAGTTAAACAGTCTCACTTCTTTGGAATCACATTTACTTCACAAAAGTTGTATGATTGACACCTGAAATGATTCTGGCCGGGCCGTACCGAGATTAACAATTTCTGATCTTGGTAGTAAGTGTCCTTCTCTATATATAGAGCAATGATATGCTCTTACTCATCTAATTAATAATAAATAAATAAAAGTGGAATGTTTGTAACAGATATTTATGTTGATTTAATAGGTAGGTGTGTGTGTGTGTGTGTGAATTAAGAATAAATGCCTAAATATGTAGCTATACAGATATATGTATATCGTATAATAAGTATGGTTTATATACAGGATAAATTATACATATATGAATTTCTTGTAATAATTACAACTATTTTGTGATTGGTTATACGATATGTTTGCTATGAACTGAATAGACCGAGTGGCTTAACAACTTTCACAGCGATATCTCATTTCGTCAATGTTATCTGATTTCATTTATGTAAGGAATGCAGTTGAATTTCAATTTCAGCATTGTATAAATAAATATTATATGTCAAACACATACAGCACGTTATCAGTATTACCGAAAGTACACTTTGAAGTGAACGACATCGTCGGAGTGTGGAAAACACTCGAAGAAATTGTGAAAATGGTTGTATATAAAATATGAAAAAACGCATTATTAATTGAGAAAAAATGGTTGGTGTGCAGTATTATGGTTATTTTCTGTTGAAAACAGCCATCGATCCGTTAAACAGTTAAATCTGTTGCATAATCAAGTAGATAGATCCAAGTAAGCATTCTTGACAACATTATTTGACAGTACAACGGTATGCATTTTTGTAAAATTCTTATCAAAAAAATATCAGTCCATAAATGATGGAAAATTAGTGTTTATGAAAATATAAAGACTATTTGTTGTGTATTATCTTCATTCCTTCCGTATCATGTCCAGTTGATTTAGTGCTCTTGGATTTAGGACAAAAAAAACGTTATTCTGCTTACTTTGATAGTCTACCTTCCCCAAGAAATAACCCCCTTCCCCTTTAAATTTATCCGTTGCAAATTTCTTGAGATCCATGCACTGCCTCCAAATAAATTTTCATTCGTTCATTTCAAACGTTTTCTAATGTAAACTCTGAGTATCAAAGAGCCAACTCGCTAATTCTGTGACTCCATGAGTTTGCTTCATAAGAAATTTGTGACTGAAATGTTCATGGAAATACCGATGATTGGTTTACAAAAGTGACCTGTCATTGGTTATTGTTGGTGCTTAGGTATATTGAATGGCACTTATCGTATTAATTATCATGCGTCATTGGAATGTTCTCTTTTCGATTATTTCACATCTTTTGAGGTGTCATTCAAAAAATTTGATCTGTATGTTTTGATCAGTCATTATTGATGACACCATTCAATTAATTACTTTGCTCTACTACCATTTTACGAGGAATTAATTGATCAGTGGAACTCATTCGCTTTAATTTGTTCATCAGTTCACTTTAAGTGCATTTATTGCCATTATTATTAATATTATTATTGTTATTGGTGATAATGATAACGATAATGATAACGATAATAATAACAATAATAATAGTAATAATAATTATTATTATACGAAGAATAATAATAATGAGAATGATAATGATAAAGAAACCGTTTACGGAATGTCAGCGTCGAAAAAGTTCAAAAAAGATGTTGTTATGATTGTATCCATCTGAGCATCGTTAATATCTGTTATCTTTTTTCAGGAATTAAGTGTTCGCTGTGTTATAACAGACAATGAATGAAACAATAACTGTCGTATGTCATGTTATCAACCGAACGAATGAACTAATTTTTGAGAATATGATAAATATTATCCTTATTATTGAATGCATAATGTTGACTTACTGAAACAGTGAATATAAATAAAAATAAATAAATAAATAAACAAAAACTCGTTTTAGTGAGAAAACAAAATGCAACGAAACATGTATATATGTGTATGCATTTGTATGATTGAATGATTAAATTGTTTTAATGAATCCCATATAAGGAACACACCTGAGTGTCTTTTGTTATTGTTATCATTATTATTGTTTTCGTTATTATTATTATTATTATTATTATTATTAGTGACATCATTACTATTGTTACTATTACTGCTATCAACATTATTATTATTATCAATGTTTTTATGATCAGCCCTATTAGTATTATTGTTGACAATTGATGTGTCTTGTGATTCATTAATTCAGAGGTATTTGTTTTTGATTATTATATTAATTTCATTCAGTGCGGTGTGCTATCGTTGAGAGAATATCAGCACTTCACACATTCACGACTATGGCGAGGCATCACCTAATTGCTTTGGTAGGCCATTATTTTTTGATTTTACTTTCATTATTGTTGTGATGATGATTATCATTATCATTATTATTATTATAATTATTATTACTGCTGTTATTGTTGCTACTATTATTATACAGAGAGAGCAATTCACTCGAGTCCATGTTGCGGGCTGTATTTTCTTGACACGTTGGCTAATAATGTTAGGTAAAATGAAGCTAATACTTCAATCGGCTTCAAACATTCTGTGCTGATGTCCTTATCAATATTATTGCACTGCCATTGTTCACAAACTGATTCATTCATCAATATTTTACATTGAATTATAAGATTGATCACTGTTAAGTTTGGTTCAGCGTATTTTGTTATTTTTTCGATTGTAAATCTGAATAGTTTCGCATGAGCATTTTTCTGTGCGCATTGATTTGTTGCTTATATTCAACACTGAAATGAGAACTGAAGTCAGTTCTCATTTCAGTGTTGTTAACTGAACATGAACAGAGTTTGTGGCCCGTACTAGAAGGTATAACAAGTGAACTGCATATAATCTCATGTATTTAATTGATTCATTATCGGTTTGATCGGTTACCATCAACATCTCCAGTACGGTCATAATTATAAACGTGTTATTCGGCTTGAACTTAGAACAACGTTGTTATGAGATGGTGATCAGCAGTTGCATTCCTTGCTATTGCATTGAAACTTGTGTCTGTGTGTAATGCGCAACTTTCATACATTATAGTGACAGTGAATGCTGAAGAAAATTTGATGTAAGGATTTACTCTATATTAGGGATGATGATCGAATCGGTTCAATCGGAACCAGACGGATTTCATTTTCGTAACTAAGAACGCAATAGGTACCGAAAAGACGAATCGTCAGTAGGAATCTGAACGAAATTTGATCGCTTACCATCATTACCTAGTATGGTCATAATGTATATACATCACAATTAAGATTAACCATCGATTATCATTCAAGAATTAATATGAAAATTGCAAAGTTCGTTTCTGAGAACAATAACTGACCACCCATATAAGAATTTGTTCATTGAGTTATTATAACACCATATCGTAAGGTTAGTACTAGCATTACGATTGAGATTTCAATTATGATTATTACTGTCTTATCTTATGTTTGGCTTTATCGCTTCAAACTGGAGAATGTGTTGAATGGAATGCACTGCATGCTTTTCAAGAGAAATAAAAAACAACAACAGCTGCTTTTGGAAATATTAAGTGAAAACTGGTGAACCAACCATAATAACTGAACAAACCATTACTAGTTAATAGCTGCTAATAATACTTTTGAAGATGATTGTAATGAATAGCAATAGCCAGAATACTTGTGAATAATAATGACGACAATAATGATAATAATATTATAATAATAATGGCAATAATATTATTATAATAATAATGATGGTAATAATAATAATAATAATAATAATAATAATAACAATAATAGTAAAACTGATAATGCTAATGACAAGAATTAATCGCAGGCTATCGCACTGACTTTTGTGTATGTGAAAACGCAAACGCGTAAGCCGATCTTTCCGGTGAGTTGCTATATGAATGTATTGGTAATTCTGGATCGATCCGACTCGGTAAAAGGTGGATTCAATCGAAGCCGCGACTTCGTCGCAGATGTTTCCAATGAACTCAACATTGGTCCTAATGCGCATCGGGTGAGAATTTTAAGGAGGTTTGTTAGAAACATTTAAGTAGTACGTAACACATATTGTTGTTGTTATTTATTATGAGCACTAATGTGAAGGCACTGATAAGCGAAGTAATGTATAGGTGGCAATGATAGTATATTCGGGTTTGAACTATCGACGAGAGGTTTTCAAATGGAATTTCGCGAAGTCTACTGCGGATTTTCAAAAAACTGTCCGCGGTTTGCGTGCTATTGGTGGAACAACGAATACAAAGTGAGTGTTTGCAATGTAGTATTTGAATATTATTATTGGGCATTTGTGAATATTTATTAGTTCATCATAATCACTGGGTAGTTTTTCAAGGAATGTGATCTTTGTGAAATTTGGAATAGTTCAGTAATCATTTCATGGACGGATGATGTTTTACAGAAAAGCTCTCGAACTCGGGCTAGAACTAATGGATTCACGGAACAAAACGATTCCGACAATAATTATGGTTGTTTCGGATGGTCGCAGTGCAGACGATCCAAAAGAACCAGCTAAAGCCCTTCAGGACATCCCAAATACTTGGGTTTTTGCTGCGGCTACTGGTGATCCACTGTTGGCCGATCGGTATGTCGTTTACTAAGTTGTACCAACAGCATTACGATGAGTGCACCATCTATTATGTTCATTTATGCCTATCGTTGTTATCATCCATCTGTAAAAGCAGAAGATAAGAAGGCACTGTGACGTGAACAACTGACAACAACAACAACAACAACAAGAAACAATATGTACAACAAGTGTAATTAATAACTAAACACTTTGAACTAGTTTTTCTTGATTTTTAGTTCAGCGCATAAGTTCTAAATTATTCATTGATGTGATTGATGATGTGCACATTTAAATGAAATGGGAATATGGAAACATTTCGAATGAATGCATTCACAATAATATTATAAAACGATTTGATAATAATAATTTTAAAGGGAGCATACACTGAATTAAATCGTTCATCTATTTATTCCAATCATTTCAACATTCTCATTCGAACAGGTTTCATTGTCCTTAAGATACTTTTTTGAATCTCACACAAAAATATTATCCATCATTGTGATCGAACGAAGCCAATGAACCCAGTTATTTCGAACGCTTTAAAAAAGAAAGAGTCAGCAATAGGATCCGCAAGACTAAACGGAATGATCTGCAGGGAAATGATATTCGATAAACTCATATGATTCCGAACGATCATTTTAGCAATGTGATGTTGTGGATCAGCTTCTGTGCAGTTGAATGAGTGATAATAATAATAATAATAATAATAATAATAACAATAATAATAACAATAATAATAATAATGACAATAATAATAATATCAATAATAATAATAATAATAACAATAACAGCATAAAACGTAATGAGCAAAAATGACAGGAAGGAGTTGACCGTTATAACGGGCGATGTGAATCACGTAATTCTGCAAAGTGGTCGAACGTTAGCTACAGATATAACCCGTAAACTATTACGCGCTGCCCAAGAGAAGTGCCGAACGACGACCACGTCCACGACAACAACCACAACAACCACTACTACAACAACCACCACCATCAATCCCATTTCAGGTTTACTTTAGTGCCTGGTAGACAACCACCAATATTCTAACAAATAAAGATGGCACATTCTTTGTAATACGAACAGATGCTTGAAAAATTGATCAGTTAAAGTGCTTTATTCAAATGTAGATGATGCAGTGTTGACTTACACTGCTGTTAATTAAGTTTGAATTGCATTTGGATGATAAAAGCCGTCGTTGATAAATCCAATCATGCGTCGTTTAGCCGTCCAATCATATGAACAATTCAAAGTCGTACAATGCACTCGATGCATTCATCAGAACGTTTGTAACAGTCCGACTAGAGATCATTAACGTGTACTCTTTGGTGCACTGTTATTGATATAATTATAATTGTAACAGGATGCGAACTTGATTTGGTACTCGTAATGGACTTATCAACGACTACTAGTCCAGTATATGAGCGATACAAGGAAATGTCTCAACAACTTATTGATAGACTATTAATTGGACCAAGATACACACGTGTTGCGCTCATTACATTCAGTTCAGTTGGAAAGTCACGAACACACTTCAATCTTGATAGGTGCTTTTATTCATTCATAAAAACTACTTTGCTCATACAAGACATTTCCGGAAAGTAAGCTTTGATTGGTCACAATGAACTATATCAAAATATATATAATTCTGAAATCGTATATTTTCACTCTGCATTTCCTCACTTAGTTTCATGACCTTTAGGCGATAAATCAACCCTTTATTCTACCAGAAAGCAGTTCACTTCATTTTTCAGCACAACATAGAGTTTTTAAACTTGTCTCTCATTAGGATCGGTCTATTTCGCTATTCCATAGATTGCTGTTTGGATAGACGGGTATTGATAGATGTAAGTCTCACCATCAATCGCTATCTGATTTAAGAAAGTTTAACAAACCGTCGATAATGGCCGCATGGAAAATTTAATGCAGAAGTGGGTATTTGTGTTAGCGGAGAATTCTTTGAGAAGCTCTTTCACCATTTGCAATGCGAGATCAAACGGTTAAAGTGGAGAAGTAGAATAGAAAGAACTGGTGATATTAGAATTGTTCAGATACACCTCTTTAAAATTCTTACTTTCCGAGCGGAACTTATTTTCCGGACCTGCCTCGTATTATCGCAATCATCTAGTAGTATCATTAATTTTTCCAACCTCTTATAATCTAGGTATGATACGGCACATCAAGTGATAGAGGCCATCATGAGAGTGGAATCCAGTGGTGGAACAACTGCCGTCGGTAAGTGTATTGTGATCGATCGTATAAATGAGACTTTGATTCATGCTCATTTAGCAGGACTTTAATTCAAGTGATTATGCTGTATGAGAAATGGTTTCATTAAACTGATTTTTGAATCATTTTGAGGTGAGGGTATACGTCTTGCGGTTGCGCAAGCAGATGAACGCATGGGTGCACGTCCGAAAAATATTGCTAAAAAGGTGATGCTCATCTTTACGGATGGCTGGAGTAATAAGGGACCTGATCCCGAAAAAATGAGTGACGAGGCTAAAGCGGCTGGCTTTAAACTTTATTCGATTAGTTACCAGGTAATAATAAGTCATTTTCTTGAAACTTCTTATTGTCGGCTTTTTCTCATTGTTGTTGCAATCATTCAATTATTTATTTGTTCTGTTAGAGCAATTATGACGATCAGTAAATGAACGAACAAAGCGGTTATGATATGATAATTTAAGGGCAATGGTCAAGCAGATAAGGATTCAGCAGGACTGAACGAATATACATTGGATTCAATCGCAGACAATCTCAAGAGTGTTTACAACGAACGTAATTTTGGTGAATTGGTTGAGGAATTAAGAAGCCGTAACTTACCGTGCATGTGATTGCTTGCTCGCTTACTTAACTGTTCGAATTAATAATGCTCGCTTGATGGTGATTATCATTATTTTGATGAATGGTTATCAAAAAAAGATTTTATGACACAGATAATGTTAATAAAACGTTCATTATATTTTCGTTTTCGACTTTCCTTAAGTAGGTCATGCTCTCTTACTTATGAATTGTGTGAAGCTTAGCATTTTTCAAATCAAAAATTATCTTAAAATCGTATTCGGTCCGTATTCCGGAACTCATACGATATGTATAAGTGTTATTTGCTTGGTGATATAAAGCAGTTATCGGCGTTAATCGCAACAATTTGAGCACGGTTTAAATTTCAAGTTTTTTCTGTTTAAATATTAAAAAAAAACTGATGACAAGCAGCATAACGAGAAGGACAGCACAATAAGAACAATGAAGCGAATATTTATTACGAATTAGTCGAACATAAGAGAGTCCGTGCGACTTGCTAAATCGATCTAAATGACGCAGCTACATGTGATGTGACAACAACGTTTTTGTTTGTAATCGTGGCATTCGTTAACTGCTAAATGATTTATTGGTGAGACTCACCATCATACGGGCACTGATCGCATTAATCAAGCATTCAAAGTCAAGCAATCTGTTGCTTGTAATACGTTGACTTACATGTCTGCACTTAATTTGAAGAACGGTGAAGACAGAGTGCGGTCGACTGCAACGAATAAGTGTGAATGAATGAACGAATAAGTAATAATTTACATAAGGAGAGTAAAATATCGTGGTTTTTAGTTGAAATATAATGTTTTTATCAGAATTGTATTATACAATAATGGTTTCATTTAAAATGGCGCATGATGATCGTCGGGCTGGATAATGAGCGGAACTGATCCGAGAAATGAGAACAAGTAATATAGTTGCTATGAGAAACGAAATGGAATGATGTGAATATATCATAACTGAAGTCAATCTTAATAACAACCTTGAAAAGGTGCTTATATGCATTGATGATTGAGTTAATGAATAAGTTTTCTAGTTGAACTCGATCAAAAATGGTAACATATGAGGTCAGCGAAGTGTATCTTACATGTAGATGGAAGGGCGATACAGAAAAAACATTTTAAAGAAAAGCAAGATTGAGGATCGACTGTAGGTGCGTCATGGGCTGCAACCTTAAAAACCGCGTCCATCCAAATAAACTAGGTAAAAGGTAGGTTATTTCAAATAAGTGAATGGTTTCGTAATGAGACGATTAGTAGCAGTTTTTCAAACATTTATTTCTTGCATGTTGAAGTCAATTCAATTACAATCAAAAGTCATAACTGTATAAGGAATTGCCGGTCGCGTGTCCCAAAGTGTTGCTTTGGCCTTAGTCGACGAATCTTGGTTGGACTCGGTAGTGCTAGTCCAGCAATTGCACTCTCCCTCTACATAATGATAGAGAATTGTGGTTTAGTGTTTCATTTCTTTTCGAAGAATGTTTACATTCAAATAGAGCTGTTTGTTTGATCACATTTATTCATTGATTTGTTTATTCATTTATTCAATCACTTGTCTGTTTATTTGAAATGAGTAAATTGTATTCGGCGAATTCGTGACTTGATGCGTTGATGAGAAGAGAGCGAACGAATTTCGAGTAGTTCATTTTTTGTTAATGTGTTTGTGTGTGTTCGTATTCAATACGATCACTGACGACATCATGTGGTTCGTCGAATAACGTTTTAATTCATGCGTGAACTCTGGTACCTTTATCATAAGGAATGAAAACAATTTATTTCTAGTACGACCCACAATTTTGAGAATTTATTTCATTCTGTTCATTGCTTTCTTACGTTACCCACTCCCATTTGGAAATAGCAACATATTTGTGATGAATAGTAAGTGGTAGGGGGAAAGCCCAATAAACATCGATCATATATATGTCTCATCTGTTCATTCCCACTTGGGCTTTTGATTGTTATTATTCCTACATTTCTTATCAATTCATTCTTTGACTTTCCTTTAGATATAATCATAATGGATGGCTTAAAGAACGAGGGAGTGGCTTGAAATTTCGTGAATTGAGCACTTGTGATGAGCAGTGTTGAGTGTTTAAGGCACCTACAATTTATTTCTGTTATATATCATTGAATCGATGAGAATTTTATCATTATTGATGCGGCAGCCATGTTTATTGTTCTTAATGTTATTGTTATTACGACGATTTCATGTTAAAATCACCATGAATAGGTACTCATGCTGTTTAGTCCTTCCACCCGCACGCAAGGGCAAGCGCGCGTGCACGGGCGCATGCGCGGACACGCCCACCGAATTGTTGTGTAATGCGTAACATAACGGGCGTGGCCCAAGGCGCGCATGACAACGTGCGGCGGTGTAGTTGAAAGCACAAATGGTAATGCACGTTTGTGTGCGTGCGGGTGGAGGGACTAAACAGCATGAGTGCCCATTAAGGTTGATATTGGACAAGGTTTTTATGTCGTTTGCATCGCTAAATTATTAGATAATGCATCGTAAGATTGCATCCGACGGTATTTGACTGTCATATGTGCAGTTGGATTTTTAT